AAAAAAAAAAAAAAAAAGTCATAAGAATGTACATTTTAAAAAATAGTCACAATACAAAGGATTTATTTGGCTACAAGCTTTAAAGCATTAATTTGGGGGACATTTTCAAAATGGGGTAAGGAATGTACATAAATTCTAGGCCTTTCGTCCCACCCAAAGTCATCCAGCTGAAAGTTTAACTACTACAAGAGAACTCTAGGCTCATAACTCTTAATTCTGCATTTTAATAATTACAATTTCCATAGGCCCATGAATTAACCACCTGCTTACAAACAAACGAAAGCTAGACACCACTGACTGTGTCCCAAGTTTATCAGCTTTTCTACTAATTCTCTCCTGGTAGATGTTTTCATGGTGGTAAAAGGGCACAGGTAGTAAGTTGTATCATCCACAGGAATCCTGTGTGCTGCTCAAGATTTTCTTGGACTAAAATATATGAAAACTACATTTCCTGATTAATTAAAATAAATACATTAGAAAAACAGCCAGTCCAAAGACTGACTAGATCACTACTCCTCACACGTTAGTACGCATCTGACTCACCTGTGCAGAGTCTAACTCAATAGGTCTGGGGTGGGCCTGCAATGGCCATTTCTAACCAGCTGCTCGTTGACACTCGTGGCGGCTCTCCAGACCACACTCTGAGTAGCAAGGACCCAGATACAGATAACCCCAAGTCCATCCTAAGCAATGCTCAAAGATCAGTTCTTAAAGACAGGTACTCCAACAAATGCATGTACACGTAGCAGCACTATTCAAAATAGCCAAAGAAGGTGGAAACAGCCCATCCTTGTCCATCAATGGATGAAAGGATAAGCAAATTACGTAAAATACAATTCAGCCCCCCACCCACAAACACACAGAAGAGAAGTAGTGACATGTGCTATGCTGCTGATGAACCTTGAAAATGTTATGCTGAGTGAAAGAAGCCAGACACAAAAGGGCATATTTGGTATAATTCCATTCACATGAAATATGCAGAATAGGTAAATTCAGAGACAGATGCAGGTGCAGTTGCCAGGGGCTGGCGGGGAGGGAGGAATGGGGAGTGAATGCTTAATGAGTGTGGGACTGATGAAAATGTGGTGAACTGGACAAAAAACAACGTGAATAAACACCACTGAACTGTTCACTCTAAAATGATTAAGTTTATGTTGTCAATTTCTCCTCTGTTTTCTTAAATGTAGGAAAAAAACACATGCTTACAGGCATAGTAAGTACCGAAAAAGATAAAACCCAAGATTCAACGACAAACATAAAAATATTTCCCACTATAATGTAACATTTCGTATAGCTCACTTAATCTGAGTCTTTTTCTTCACTGATAAAATGTAGATATAAATAAAATGCAGGTTGATAAAATACCTGTCTACCACAGAATTATAAGGAACCAAAGAAAAATGATAAAAGTTACTCTCAAAACCAAAAGACACAATATGGGCTGGGTACAGTGACTCACACCTGTAATCCCAGCACTTTGGGAGGCTGAGGTGGGCAGATCACTTGAGGTCAGGAGTTTGAGACCAGACTGGCCAACATGGTGAAACCCTGTCTCTACTAAAAATACAAAACAATTAGCCAGTTGTGGTAGCGGGCACTTGTAATTCCAGCTACTTAGGAGGCTGAGGTAGGTGTATTACTTGAACCCCAGAGGCAGAGGTTGCAGTGAGCTGAGATCATGCCACTGCACGCCAACCTGGGCAACAGAGCAAGACTCCCTCTCAAAAAAAAAAAAAAAGAAAAAGAAAGATACAAGATGAACAAATAATGCTGTATTATTTTTACCACTATAAGCGCACTTCTCAAATTATACATGAATCCCTAAAGATTTGGTGACTACTAAAAACAGACGTTACAATTAAATCACCAAACCTGTGCTGAGGTATTTAAGTCCTGTGGGCGAGATCAACTTTCAAAAGCATCCCTCTCACCCATTTCCTTACAATGTAACCAGTCTGGTATAATTCAATGGTCAGGTAAATTTTGACATATGTTCAGAAATGTATCTTTCGCTTCTATCTTTAAGAAAATAAAACAATTCAAATGCCCTTTTCTGTCCATTCTTTTAGTGTGAAATGCAAGGACCTACTTAGAATGAATGCCTGGAGAGAAGAGCCTCTCCCAGGCTTCTCAGTGAGGGAAGATGCCTGCAGCAGCTTCGAGCTATGACATCTGTTATGTAAGAAGAAACAGAGATTGGCAGTGCTTTTCTTTCATTCTAAGCCCCATTCTCTTTGAAATGAACAGGCAGTATGTGTAGTCACGGGTATAGGTCCCTCTGCTCAGCATGAATCCAACACACAAGTACCTTTCAAAAGTACACATTTAGTTATTCTTTTTAGTCAAAAACCCACTTCCCATTCTCCCAACTTTCTCCCTGTCTAACAAAGAGATAACAACAGTCCCGTAAGAACAACTCTTTTTGCTAAAAGCACTTCCTCTCTCCGCTGTGAAGCAACCTTTTGTAACAGCACAACTTACCGCAAATATTTTTAACAGTGTTTTCATGTAGAGTTTGCGGATACCAAAGGAGACTCCAAAAATGGCTGGCACTATGATGAAAACGAGAAGGAGGGTGAAGAGGACAGTCAGGGAGATGCCCAGAAGGTTGACAATCAGGCTATCAAAAGGCAGCAACAGGAACATGGTGGAGGATCCGGGCCAGGCCAGCACCTGCCTCCCCAAGAACAAACTGCAGACTTCAGATGGTCCTTCCCAACAGCACCAGCCAGGGAAAGGAAGCAAATTCCCGAAGAACAGCAAACCCCATTCCAAACTCAACGCCCTTCAACCGCCTGAACAGAAGGCCTGGGAGGAGAATGACAGGAAAACAGGGCCACAGGAGGCAGCTGCAAACACCAGGTCTCTCCGGAATGGAGGGACTCTGGAAATAAATGAAGCTCGATGGGTCTTCAGTAAAAGCATCCAAGTCCAGACAGAGTTTCTGTGCAAGTGAACAGTGAGGGTGGGAGCTCTGCTCTGCTGTCCTGATGCTGCTTCCAGAGGTCTTACGTGGTTTTCCTGCCCAAGAGCATTCAACAGATAAATCTGTCCTGTGGATCTGTCACTGCCAGAAGTACCAGGAAGAGTTCAACTTGGTGCCAGAAAACTCCTGATAACGCCTATGGAGGGGAAACTACTGGCACTGCACACAGAAGGCTTTTGAACTTGAATATGTGGAAATTAAATAATTGTTTTATTTAAAATTCCTTCATAAGCTGAAAAACGTGTTCATTGTAGAGAGTTCATATCTGGCCCCATCCTCCCTGGCAAGGCTCCTGGTGCTCACAGCTCCCAGGACCCTCCCCACCTGGAGAGCTACAGTCTTTGCCAGCAGGAAAGAGACGATGGCATACAATGTCTCATGCTGCAAGCGCTGAGTGTAATTCCAGATGCATCTGGCATTGGTTTCCCCTGGACGCTCTTCTCCCTAAGGCTCTTTCTTAGCAGTAGCCTGGGTTCTTGGCAAACAGCTGCTTACATGCTGCCAAAGCTGGGAGAGGGAAACAGAAACATTGTCAGTCACACAAATCAAGAGGCGAAATGTCAACATGCTCGGGGCCAGGGGGACTGTTTCAGCGTGAGCCTAAAACTGCCGGTGTGGTCAATGCCTGCTTCTCAAGTCATCAAGGTCAAAGAGACCAGGCAGAGCCAACAGGTGGCAGACATGGATATGGGAGGGAAACACAGGGGTTTCACAGTTTTCAACCCAAATGATATGATCTGTGGTCAAACTTTCTGAATAGAAAATACATGCATAGAAGACACATTTCAAAGACAAAAAGGGTGTGCTATGGAAAGTACACCTCCCTCCTACCTGCCCCCCAGGTACTCAGAGTGGTTCTGCACAGATGCAACCAAAGGTTGTAACCACCTTTGTATTCTTCCCAAGACATCCTATGTTTCTCCAAGAAAATCACAGTGGTTTTCCATCATCACTGGCCCCCAGGCCTGGCAACAACAATGATGGATTATTCTTCACCTTGCTTTTTGTTTTTAACTTAACATATCTTAGAAGAATGTCCCATCAGTACTCACAGAGCTCCCTCATTCTCCAGGCGCACAGTTTTCAACTTAAGAATGTGCCATGATTTAGTTGACCAGTCTCCCAAGGCTAAACGTTGACATTTCTACTTTTTTTGTATAAATAATGCTGTAAGGAATAACCAGGTGACATGCATGACTTAGTATACAAAATGAGCTTAGCAAATAGATTTTCAGGGTAAATTCCTAGAAATGGAATTGCAGAGGAAGAAAAAATACACATTTTTAAATTTGCAAGATCTTGTCACATTTTCCACAGAGATTAAACTCCTCCAGCCTCCCCCCACATTGGCCACTCATTTTGAAATTCCACTATTTCAAATACCTCACAGAAGTATTCCAATTTTACATCGCTCATTCCAAATCCCTGAACTTGGGGTACCCTACCAAAACTCTTGGGCAAACATTTTGGCTTCATACCAATCACCTTCAGCCTCTTCCAAACACTTAGAAGTTTAAGAAATTGAACAAATGAGCAAGTACTGACTTTGCCTTAAAATCTGAGAACTCAAGGCTCTTCTCGTTACCTTGTTTGGTTATCCCCAGCCCATCAATCTATACGATTTCCACTTTACACATCAGGAAGCTGAGACAGGTAGACACAGACCCAGTTCCTCTGTATGGCTCCATGACATTCACACACTTCTGAGAACAAAATGCTCTACTCTACAAGGACATGCTATTCAGTGGCACTGGGTCAGGAACCCTAGTTCCTAGCTCTGACGGCCACTTCTTACGTTTCCTTCCACTTCATACTGTCATTGCTATTGCTAACATTGACTGAGTGCTTACAACATGCCAAGCATTGCACTAAAGAGCATTTCACATATACCACCCTCACGTGATCCTCATGACGGCTGTACGGTGGAGTCATTGTCATCCGGATCTATAGGCGAGGACGCTGAGGCTGAGAAGATTAAGGACGTCACCCAGGGTGGCAGAGAGTAGGAAGCAGGACAAGTGCATCCATCTCCAGGCCCCTGCTCTGTAACCCCTACTCCTTCCTATCTCCCAAACTACATGCCTAAAAATGAAGCAGCACTTCCTTCAAGCCAGCCTGCTCTACAGAACTTCTTGTGATTAGAGAAAACCATCAGGATCTGGACCCCAGTATCAGAATTTGGTGGTGTTCTCAGAATTCAAGGTAGAGACATGCTCTTTCATTTTTATAAACACTTGTACATGCCAGTTTTCTAACGGTGTTCTGGAGGTGGTTCAGGTTTTGGTAACCTGAGTTACCAAAGTCCCTAGGCCTGTCCAAGGCAACCTGTCCTTTCCTCCTCTATTGCTGTCTCCCACTCCCCGTGGACAGCACTGCCATGGGAAAGAGGCAGCAAGGGCCTCTGTCCTACTGGCAAGGGTCACACTGAGTTCCACAGACCCAAGGTGAGCGACACCAGAGTCACTCTGACCCTCTTCCAGATTGTAGATCACTCCTTCAAGGATCACAACTGGGAATTCCCAAGGTTATTCTGGGTTCATGTCCCCAAACCAGTAAATACATGTTGCAATGAACCAATTTCTTCACCTAGTTCAAGGGTTGGCCAATCACAACCCACCTCTGGCTACAGTCTTTCACAAAGGCTCACGAGTTTTTACATTCTTAGACTCTTTTAAAGAGATGCAAAAAGCAAAGATGTGACAGAGACCATGGCCTGCAGAGCTGAAAATACTCACTATTTGCCCCTTCTATGAAGAGTCTGCACTCATGACCTTCCTGGTCTTTCCTCTGCTCAGAGGCAGTGACCTCTCCCCTGCTGCCCTCCCGGTCCCAACCCACCCCGCCCCACCCCGCCCCCTGAGTTCCTTTTTCTGAGTGCCAGCCTCCAGGACAGAGAACACCAAACTGGCCTAACAAGTTATCTGGCCAACACTAAACAATACTCACACAAATTCTTAGAAGTAGAGGAAAGAGCAAGCCAACTGAGTTTATCAAACCGGCAGTGTTTAGAAACTGAAAAATCATTAAAGCCAGAGATAACTGGTGGCTTAAGTAAGGTCCCCTTAATACAGACTTTGATGTCTGGAAAAATCAGAAAACTATTCACATCAGAACTGAATCAAACCGGAATTTCTAGTTACAAGCATGGCCCCTTAAAGAGTGTGAGCTGGGGAAGCCATTCATTCAGAGGGATATTCACTTTTTCTCTCAACGTCCACAGCTGGACTCCAGCCAAACTCACCCAGAATCATCAGGGCCAAAGTTCCCCCATAGCCCAAACATTCTAGAGAATCAGCCAGTTCTGAGCCTTTAGGAAGGAAGCTGCCTCCATTCCAGGAAGGCAACAGAGCCCATCACTAAGCTAACCTAACTCTTCAACCCACGGAATGGCAAATCTGAGCCTTTAGGTCTCCAAATGGCCTCAGTTCTTGGAGTGATGTTCATTCATTCAATAAATACTCACTGGGCACACAGTGTGTGCCAGACGGTACACCAGGTGTTAGCTGTTGTTCAGTGGTGAAGAGACAGGCCTCAGGACACACATCCACAAACAAGCACACAAAAGTCATAATTTCAAACTATGATGACTGTTGACAAAGAAAACAGACTCCTGGAAAAGAAGAGAACTTAATTTAAATCAAGGCATCTACACCAATTCTGACCCAATCACAAAGTACTGGGCAGGGACTATTATCGCTCCTAATTGCAGAGTCACATACTTTTCAGCCAGCTCTCTGTGATACATCCCAACTCAGGGACCATAACTACTAGAATATGTGCAGACAGAGGCCCTGTGCCAACTCAAAATGTAAAAGAAAGGCCACTTTATCAATACATGCTTAGATCACACATGTATTTTTAGAATGCATGTATTTCTGGAGCACACCAAGCACAATGCCTGTTACATGTTAGATCTCAATGAAGGATACATATTATCATTTCATTAGGATCAGAAGAAACTCAGTCTTCAGTTCTAGGTACCAAACTTCAAGAAGGCTTAGAGAGGGAGGCATTACAACGTAGGACACAAAATCCACAAGAAACACAATGTACCTGGCAAACAGTAAGTGTTCAATAAAAAGATTACCGATAAAACAGAGAAATTCACATTGAAACTACAGTGAGATGGCAAAGAAATTGTGATAAACCACTGTACTGGTAAGAATGAGAAAACATCCTCAAATACTGCTGGTTGGAGTGTAAAATGGGTTCAACGTCTATGAAGAACAATTTAGCAACTGCCACCAAAACTTGAAACGTACTTAACCTTAGATCCAGCAATTCCACTTCTAGAAATTTATCCTAAGGATAAATCAGACCAGTGGTTCCCAACCAAGCATAATTTCTTTACTTCCTTTGGGAACATCTGGCAATATCTGCAGGAATTTTTGGCTGCCACTACTCAGGACGGGAGTGCCACTACTGGCACCTAGTGCAGCGTGCAGGGCAGATGAAGCTGCACATCTTACAATGCACAGGACAGCTCCCACAATGAGGAACTGTCCATCCCCAAACGTCAGTAGCGCAAAAGTGTATAAACCCTGTATTCTAAAGCACGAGCAAAGTGATAATATACTGGGTTACTGATTACACCATTGTCTGTAGTACCAAAACAAACATCAATGTCCCCCAAAAGAGGATATAATGGAATACTATTCATCTAAGCCCATCACTAGGAAGGAGAAGGGGGATTTGAAGGTATTCCCCAAGAAATAATGACATTACACTAATGAGGTTTTCAACTACCACTTGTGCGTAAAGGTGTTTACAAGCCCCTAAAATAGCTGGAGCATGCTTTCCTATCCAGAAAATGCACATGGCCTGACACAGAGGAAAACACGGCCACAGCCAGTGTCTGCAGAGAATACTGGGGGCAAACGGGACCTCTCTAGAAAACAGGAACATAAATGCTTGAGGCTTCAATATGGCACTCTGTGCAAACACATGAGCAAAAACTGGGACTCTCACAGTAAATCTGAATCAGGACAGCTGCTATCCATGCACAGATGGCAGGGGCATAAGCCATGTGGGCCCTGAGACCCAGACAGAGCCATCCCCTGGCTGCTAAAGGCTGCACTGGTTCTCTACCCAGGACACTCAATTGCATCACTGGGCCTCAGTTCAGATTAAAGAAATTAGAATCTCTGCAGGTACAATCTAGATTTGTTCTTAAGACACTCGAGCGATTCAAATGTGTAACCATTTGAGACTACCGAGTTAAGGGTTCTTAACAGTTAACTGAGTAAGGACAACTGAAACTAAGAAGACAACCATCTCTGAGCACAAATCACCCATAAGTAAAAGGCATCTAGTTCTCTTAAAAAAAAAAAAAAGAGGGAGCACATTCACAAGAGAGGTGGTTCATGCCTGTAATCCTAGCACTTTGGGAGGCCGAGGTGGGTGGATCACCTGAGGTCAGGAGTTCAAGACCAGCCTGGCCATCATGGGGAAACCCCATCTTTAAAAAAGAAATGGGGATTAAAAAAAAAAAAAAAAAAAAGAGGTGG